AACGAATTTGGCCCATGAGTGAGCTCGTCCACCTAGTGGACGAGCGTGTGAAGAACCACTTTTTTTTATATTTTTTTTTTCTGTTTTATTTATTTAATGATTTACTAATTAATTTTTAAATACTATAAATAATAATTCATATTTTAATAATTTAATAAATATATTTTATTAATTTAGTAAATATATTTTAAATAAATACTATAAATACTATTAAAATGTTAGTCTTAATAACTTTTATTATAATTAATAATAATAAAATAATGTTAATAAACAAAATTAATAATTTTAATTATAAAATAATAATTAATAATAATTACATTCTTAAATTACAACAATAAAATTGATAAAACAAAAATATATTTCATCGAAGATGACCCCCAGTTCCACACCTAGTAGTCCTTCGCTGTCTATATCCCCTGCCCAAACGCTCATTTGTAGGTGATTGAGATGAGTCGGAAGACATGTCTTCATTGTGATGTGTTGTAGGGGGGTTTACCTGCCGTGAAGAGGGTCCTGGTTGCTCATCGAGAAGATCATCAATGTTAAAATTCGGGATGTGCATCAATTGCTCCTCTGTCAGCAAAAAATTTTGGAATGAGTGTGGTGGTTGCGGTGGTTGTGGGTAGGTTTCGGGTTGGGTTTGTTGAAGGGTTGGGTAGTAGACGTTATCAGGCGTGAAGGTCAAGGTGGGTTGAGAGAAGGTAGTGTTGAAGTTCGAGGTGGGTTGGGAGAATGAAGTGTTGAAGGTTTGATATTGGAAATGAGGGTTGGTCTGGTCAAAGTTGGGAGGTGGAACTGGGGTGAATTGTATTGGTGGTCGGAGGTAGGGTTGGGGCTGATATTGTTTATTGTAGTGGTAGCTATAGTTTTATTGAGGGAGTGGATTGTAGGGTGTTTGTTGTTGGTATGTATTTTTAGCTGACGAGGATGCATGCCCCCTAAATTGAGATGTGTAGGTTGGTGGCACATCCTGATGCACTGATGTGGCAGTTTGTTGTGTTTATGATGATGCTTACATGCGTGGGTCAGTCAAAAATTCTTCTGGAGCAACATGCACATAAGGAATGCACGAAACCAAGCTAGATACTTTTAGCGTCCCCCTGCAAAATCACATTTCTTCTGTGTCTCCATTCTCTCACATCCTCCTTGTTTAATTCTCGCCAATGAATTTTTTGGGTTTTTCTCATGGTCATTGCGTGGTGTTCCCTTATGCACCTTGGCGGGGGAGGGATTTGTTGGTCTAATCCAAACTGGAGTGTTACCCTATCCGTTTGATGCATCTCAACGGTATAGAAACAAATAAGGAAAGTTGTTGCACTTTGACTATCTCTAAGACTGGGCACCGGATATTGAATGTATAACCTCCATATAAACTGTCACATAAAAAATAAAATTAAGATACCATTAAGGAGTAGAACCGACAACTATTTTCACATGGTTTGAAACATACATCTTGTTCTTGCATATGGTCCAATGTGTTTCGATATCCTTGGAGATGAAAACGAGGATTTGCACTATAATCCATTCTTCTTTGCGCCCATCTTGCATAAACAAATATATATATATATATATATATATATATATATATATATATATATATATATATATATATATATATATATATATATATATATATATATATATATATATATATATATATATATATATATATATATATATATATATATATATATATATATATATTATGTACACACAAATGAGTGTTTTAATACAGAAATACCTTTGTGCATATGGAAACGAGGGTTCTACTGTGCTGACAGGAGCGAACAATGGTATACGTGTGAATGCCCAAGAAGTTAGTAGGAGAGCACAACCACTCATGCTCCTAACATCTTTGACTGCTGTCTTGCATATTTCTCTGTATAGTTTTGCAAGGCATGCATAACCCCAACTATAGGTGCCGCATACGACAAGATCCCCTATGAAAGGGATCCAAGAAGAATGCAATAGGTTCCGACTTTTGTCAGGAAACAAAATAGTAGCGATTACAAGTAAAATATAAATTTTGGCTTCTAACAGAACTTCTTCTTGTGTGGGGACAGGTTTATTTTTTAAAGTTTCATATAAACTCTCTAGCCAGGTGATCCTAACAGAACATTTAATTTTATCCGCTTCTGCAGGTTCCACCCCCAAGTTTTCCATATAAACAATGTTTGTTACCTCGGTGGGACCGTTGATAGCTTTTCCATCAACTCGTAGACCAAGTAACATATACGCATCTTCAAGCGTTATTATGCATTCACCTGTTGGAAAGTGAAAAGTGTGTGTTTCAGGTCTCCACTTCTCCAACAGAGCCACAACTAAACTTGAGTCGACTTTTAAACTATTTATTTTTGATATATGTGCAAAACCTGCTATTTCAAGATAAGTCATTATTCTCTGAATCGCTTGAATAGGAGCATGTGAATGCACTATAAACCTTGGGGGCATTAGTCTGCAACAATATTAAACCAAAAGAAGGTAATCACGATTTTTGCTACGAAGTAATATTTTACCAAAAAACTATAGACATTATTTTTGCTACGAAATAATAGAGGAAAAACTTACACTAACTTGGATATTTTCTTGTGTTCCACGGTGTTAGTCGTCCATCCACAATAATGCCATGTTACGATTGCAAGAGAGTAGAGGAAGTAAATAATGTGTGTAGAAATGTTATAGATTAGATGAAGTAAAAAAAGTGTGTAAAAATTTGATGTATAAATATGAATTTATAGTAGGGTGAATGCAATTCAAATTTAAGTGTAATAAATTTGAAATTCAAGGTATGAAAAGACCCTTGCATGGCCTCACATTTGGTTGCATGCATGCAAAAACATAGCTTTTTTAGGCCTCTTACAGCATGTCGTTTTCATGCAATACAAAATCTGCACAACATCACAGGCTCGTCCTTGGAATGGACGAGCTCATAAAGCACTTCACAAGTTCGCCCATAGAATGGACGAGCATCCACACTAGCCGTGAACAAGCTCGCCCTTTGAGTGGGCGAGCTACAAGTTCCAATATTCCATAATTTTTCTCATATTAGTCTTATATAATTGTTGGAAACTATATGTAAGATAATATTTCTACACATTAATAATCTACAATTCAATATTGACTATCAAAAACTTCTATTTTACACATCAATATTCACTACCAAGAAATTCTATTTTACACTCCAAAATGTCCCAGAGAAACATAATTCTCACATGCCACTTTAACGGTGTTGTTTCAATAAATAGCCCTGTTGGATTCTCGTTCAGCAACACAGATACATACGCCTTCAAAATTCATGTTAGTTCTGATTTTTTCCATTTTAAAGATAGAATGGAAATAAAATTGGCACGAAGCGTTGAGGAAATAATTTATCGCCATCCAACACTTAATGAAGACGACTGTACAATTTTTTACATAATGACGCCGATCAGGAACGACGAAGATGTGAAGGCAATGTTTCGGTGCCACATGATGTTTGGTCAGTTACCTATAATTGAGTTGTATGTCTGACTACTAGACAATCCCGAAACATTTCCGACGCAAGAGACGCAGTTACACTGGTACGGGATGAGTCAAACATTCGACGACGAACCAACACAAAACAATTTACCTTTCATACCAAATGAGGAGGTTGGAGAAGCAAGCGATGACGATATTTAGGAAGTCAGGATGCAATATATTTTTGGTGATAGTGATGACGAAGACAATGAAGAAATAGTTGTCGCGTCTACGCAGCCGATCCGTGCACAACCCATAAGTTTGTACAACCCGCCTGTGCACATGCAAAATATATGTTTCGAACACGACGGTATAACCTCTGTGTTTGGAAGTGCTATTCAAAACCATATAGGTGACGAAATAGAGATTGGGATGGAGTTCGAAAACAAGGAAGCTTCAGTCCTCGCTCTGCAGCATTGGGACATAACACACAGTTTGGACTATTGGGTGTATCTGTCTGACAATGAACGATATGTCATTAAGTGTAAGAAACAAGACTGCAGTTTCAAGTGCAGAGCTTCCTTGAGAAAAAGGAAATCGAAATGGGTGATTGGTAAGCTTTCTGGGTCTCACACATGCACTACGACGTCTATGGCACAAGACCATAGGAAGCTCAGTTCAGAAATGGTTAGCCATAGCATCATAGAACTTTTCAACAGTGATGCCTCACTTAAGGTAAAGGTGATCATTCCCCATATTATAATATCTTACAGGAAAGCATGGATCGCTAAGTGCAAGGCCGTAGAGTCACTTTATGGCAATTGGGAAACATCTTACAACGACTTACCGCAGTGGATACTGGTAATGAAAACCTTCCTTCCAGGAACCATTATAGATTTGCAAACCCTACCTGCGATATCAAGTGATGGTTCCCAAATCTCTGGAAAACGAATATTCCACCGTCTGTTTTGGGAATTTCGTTCGTGTATACGTGGCTTCGCCTACTGTAAGCCCATTGTGCAAGTAGACGGAACTTGGTTGTATGGCCAGTACAGAGGAACTCTATTGATGGCGGTGGCACAGGATGGCAACACAAATATTTTCCCAATAGCATTCGCATTGGTCGAAGGTGAAACAAAGGAAGCATGAAGCTTTTTTCTGAGGAACCTGAGATTACACGTGACACCACAACCTAATTTGTGTCTAATATCTGATAGACATGAATCGATAAAGAGTGCATACAACAATCCCGAAAACGGATGGCAACATCCACCATCTTCACATCTCTACTGCATAAGACACATTGCTCAGAACTTCATGCGAGAGATTAAGGACAAGGATCTACGCAAAAAACAATAAATTTCACTTATCTCAAGTTTTGTGGCACACTTTTATCATTTTTTCACACAATTTCTGTTACAGGTTACGCATTGACAGAGGCTACATTTAATTACTATCGCTGAGAAATCAGAAGAACAAACATTGAGGCTTCAAATTGGATAGACAACATCCCTAGGGAGAAGTGGGCTAGAGCATTTGACAGAGGGCAACGTTGGGGACATATGACATCTAACTTGGCAGAGGCGTTAAACTTTGTACTAAAGGCAACAAGAAACCTTCCAATCATTGCATTGGTCCAGTCTACATACTATCGAATGGGTTCACTCTTTGGTAAACGAGGACACAAATGGACCAAAATGCTATCTCCAGGAAAAGTTTTCACAGATGGTTGTAACAAGGGAATGGTTGATGAGGTAGCCAAGGCTAACACACACAACGTCATGCAATTTGATCGCGAAAGATTTTGTTTCATGGTGCAGGAAAAGATTAATTACAACGATGGTCGTCCAACGGGTACTTTCAGCATTGACTTGAGGAATCGTTTGTGTGACTGTGGAAAATTTCAAGCATTTCAATTGCCTTGCTCTCACGTGATAGTGGCATGTTCTAGCATACGACAGGACTACACAATTCACATTCCAGAGGTCTTCACAGTTCTTAACGCATTCAAGGTCTACAAGGAAAGCTTTCTGGGACTACCGCACGAGGAGAATTGGCCAAAATATGAAGGTTTTACTCTGTGCAACGACGATTCCATGAGAAGAAATAAAAAGGAACGTCCAACCAATAGTAGAATTAGAAATGAGATGGACGACGCTGAAAAAGAGAAGAGAAGGTGTGGGATTTGCAGAGAAATAGGTCATATGCGTAGAAAATTTCTCAATGTTGCCGGTCCGTCAAACCGACCGAATAGATAATTTTATTGTACTAGTTTTGTATGTGATCCAACAATTATTTTTAATTTTAAAAAAACTTTCAAATTAGAACAATACCAGTGAATTACAAACATAAAGTGGATCCGTGACTCCACAAACTCAAAAATAAAACTCAGAAAGCTAACATAAGCTCTAACCAACAACAACGACCAACACAAGTGGATCCGTGACTCCTCTGTTGACTTCGCCACTATGTGTTGAAAACATGCAAAGAACATCTTCATCATTTTCTATACGATCTAAGTAATACATGTACGTACCCTCCAGGCTAGCATCATTCAGCGTTATATACGGACAACGATACTCCATTTTTCTCACCGTCATGCGGCGACCACCCAATTGCTGAAACCCCGTGTTAATTGATGTAACCACGGTTCTGAAATTCCACTGCGGATCTAGGTAAACACAGAGTTTTTTTTTCTTGTCCATAGAAAACAAGAGCTTGCACAGACATTTTTATAAAACAGATAACTTGACACGAATGATATTTGTTGATGCGCAATAAGTCTATTTATAAAAAAATTACGTTTGAGCTTGGTCATTCAATGACCGAGGGTCTGTAAAAAATTCACACATCCATGTGCGAACATCAGTCATTATTATTTTATTTCATATACAATAAAATATAGTTAAATTAATTTAATATATAATACTTTTTAAAAATTAACTATTTAAAATTAAAAAATTATTAACATTAAAAATTGATTAACTATGGTATTTAATTATTAATTACATAATTTATCATTAACTATTTAAAATTAAAAAATTATTAACATTAAAAATTATTAAAAACTATAGTATTTAATTATTAATTATATAATTTATTAATTAATGTATTAAAATTATATTTATCAAAATCTTTAAATAAATAAAACTGAATAAAAAAAGCACACTTCATACGCTCGTCCACTGGGTGGACGAGCTGTCTTGGCCCAATCTGAATTTCACAAGCTCGCCAACTGGTTGGACGAACTTCTACAGTAAAATTTTCACACGTACCCCCTCGTCCACTGAATGGACGAACTTCTATAGAAAAGGGTGTACTTCAGCAAATAATTTTCAAATCAGGGCATTATGAGATTTTCTATTTCAAAAGGGGGTACAACAGTAAAAAAAAAAAAACCTTTTTTCTTTGCAAACTCATACCAGCCACAATCAATAAACATTTCAACGCAATATGTTCTCTCAGTCGTGTGGATTTCATAGTCATACCGCTCCATCATATCAACGTCCACCATCTCTAGTCTACTTGGTCCACTTAATAAACATGTCTTGATCACACACTAGGGAATTTTCTACAGACAAATACTATATCATAATATATATATATATATATATATATATATATATATATATATATATATATATATATATATATATATATATATATATATATATATATATATATATATATATATATATATATATATATATATATATATATATATATATATATATATATATATATCAAATTAACTGCAACTTAATAGCAAACTATTTATGATTCCAATAAAAAAAACTTACAAAGACGTTTTTTTAGAAAGGCCAACGCCAATGGGAGTTCTTAGAGTGGGTTTGCCAACATGACACTCATATTTATTGTTTTCAAGATGAAAAAGTTCTTAAATATGCAACGGTTCTTCAATGGTTCTTATATTAAAATCTTAATTTTATAATATAAAAACTATAATTTGATATAAAATTTTATTTATTATTTTAATTATCATTTTAATTAAAATTTAAATATTTAAATTATAATTTTAAATAAAATAAATTTAATATAAATAATATTTTTTAAGTAAAGTGGTGAGACCCAATATAGATTCTTTAGAGTTGCACCATTGAAATGAAAATTAAATGAGTTACTTTAAAAGAGTGGGTCCTACAAAGAATCTAAAAATGGTGATGCTCTTAGAATCTTTAATTTCCTTCCTTCACACACAATACCTTCGATCCCAGTGCGAAAAGTCCCTATCACTTGATTCATCTCCCGTGCTTTCTTCATCAGAGTGTTACAGATACAACCATAAAAAGTCATGGAACATTCATTTAACTCGTGTATACTAATCTTAACCAAGTATGCAACAGCCTTTACATTGTAGTAATTAAATTTCATTGCAAAATTTTTCTATTACTTTTTCAAAATTCTGTGTTATCTAAATATGTTACATATATGTATGAACATGAACTCATATACCAACGTATCAAACAATGTTTATTCAAATAATTGTATTTGGAAGAAACTTTTTAAACCTTATTCTTAATCAACTGGTCTCAACACATACCTCTCATTACCATATGAAATCAAGATATGTGATGGTGCACCAACAACAACTTGTTTTCCCTTGCCTTTCATTCCTTCAACTAAATCACTTGCATGCATGTTGGACTTGGGAGTAAAATCTTCAACATCTCCTACAACTTCAACTTCAGGAACACCTTTGAGCTTTGGAACGTTACCTAACTCACTTAAGTGCATTCACCATATTTGAAGATGAGCCTCCCACCATCTCCTTCACGCTTCCACTCTTACAAACTTTCTCGTACTCGAGAAACATCTCATCAAATCTCCTTCTTCTCCAAGAGGATCATTTTCAATTTGGGAGCTGAAGCTGAAATAAATGATATTTTACACAAACATGCTCATTAATCTAATTTTATACAAATGGGGTTTAACATGTAATTGAATAATACTATACCTTCTCCTAACAGTCCCAGAAGAAGCATTTTCTTTCTTGGTGGAAATTGATGGCATGCAAATGAAGTCTAAATGGTATGAATTTTTTTTATTTGTTTAACTTACACGATAGAAAACACTTTTAATACTGATCTGTAAGTTCTCTTCATGTACCATGCCTAGGTGTCTTAGGTAGCTGTTTGACAATTATGATTACAACTATACCCACGTCATAATGTTGAAAATAAGACCTTTTGTGTTTAGAAAAAATGTGTGGGAATATTAGAGGCTTAAAGAGAAACTTGGTAGGTGGAAGAATTATTTATGGAAGAGAGAACTTTGTATTTTGCTTGATGCAAAAGTGTAGAATTACATCTCTATTTATAGTACTCTAAGGAGAACTCTAGACACACTAATTCTAGAGAGTTCTCAACTCTAGGAATTCCAAGAGTATTCTAGAGAATACTACAACCTTAAGAAATATCTAGACACTCCAAACATTACAAGAGTTTTCTAGAAATATTAATTAAAATTACTTAAGTCCAAAACAACTAAGCCCAAAAGTCCAAATAATATTTTAGGCCCAAATCAAGTTTAATCTTTCAACATCCCCCCCTAAATTTGATTTGTGACTCCAAGCATACTCCTTAGCTTTATGAACGTTTCCAATTTGAGTGGCTTGGTGAAAATGTCGGCAGCTTGATCTCGAGACATCACATACTTCAACCTCACATCCTTCTTCTCGATGCATTCTCTTACAAAGTGGTAACGGGTGTCGATGTGTTTACTTCTTTCATGAAATACAGAATTCTTTGCCAAAGCAAGTGCTGATTTATTGTCAACACATATTTCCATAGGATCTTCTTGTGGCATTTTTAACTCTTTCAACAAGTTCCTTAGCCAAACTGCATGGCAAACACATGATGTAGCGGCAACATATTCAGCTTCACAAGTTGACAGTGTGACGATAGGTTGTTTCTTTGACATCCAAGTGAAAGCAGTATCTCCCATAAAGAATACAAAACCAGTAGTGCTCTTTCTATCGTCCACGTCTCCACTCCAATCGCTATCACTATAGCCAACAATTTCATCATTGTTAGAAGAGTAATAGTGTAAGCCAAAGTTTGTTGTACCTTTGATATATCGAAGGATTCTCTTTGCCGCCTTGAAGTGAGTTGTTGTTGGAGCTTCCATGTAACGACTTACAACTCCTACAGCATAGAAAATATCCGGCCTTGTACTTGTCAAGTAACGCAGACTTCCAACCAAACTTTTGTAAAGAGTTGGATCCACAATCTCTCCATTTTCATGCTTACTCAACTTGCTGCCACATTCCATCGGGGTGCCAACCGGATTAGCATCATCCATCTTGAACCTTTTAAGGACTTATTTTGCATAGCCTTCTTGGGTGATAAAAATTCCTTTGTCTTCTTGCTTTACTTCAATGCCAAGATAATATGCCATGAGCCCCATATCTGTCATCTCAAATTCATTTGACATGTCTTTCTTGAACTCTTCGAACATGCTTAGATTGTTCCCAGTGAAGATTAAGTCATCAACATATAGGCACACAATCAAAATATTTCCACTTTGCGCTTTAATATAGAGTGCATGCTCATATGGACACTTGGTGAAATTCTTGTCTCGAAAGTACTTGTCGATTCGAACATTCCAAGCTCTCGGTGCTTGCTTGAGTCCGTACAACGCCTTTTTCAACTTGAGGACTTTTTCTTCTTGCCCTTTTACTTCATATCCTTGTGGTTGCTCGATATAAACTTCTTCTTCGAGAAAACCATTCAAGAAGGCCGACTTCACATCCATTTGATAGATCTTCCATTCATTCTGGGCTGCCAAAGAAATGATTAGTCTAATAGTTTCAAGACGAGCAACGGGGGAAAATACCTCATCATAGTCAATTCCTTGTCTTTGACTATAGCCTTTTGCCACCAGTCTTGCTTTGTATCTCTCCACGTCTCCTTTTGCATTCTTCTTTGCCTTGTACACCCATCTTACTCCGATTGCTTTGTGTCCTTGTGGAAGTGTAGTAAGTTCCCACGTATCATTCTTCGTGATTGACTTTATTTCTTCATCCATGGCATCTCTCCACTTTACATTTTCAACAGCTTCTTGATAGCTTAGAGGCTCGCAATCACCAAAAAGACAAAAGAGGTTAATGTCATTTTGGTTTTCGGTTACCTCATAAAGCTCTTCAATGCTCCTTAATCGTGGTGTCCTCTCACTTGAGATTGTTTCATCCAACCTTGGTGTCGGTGAGGCAGGTGGTGTAATATGTTCATCTATCATT